GGTAACGCTCCGCTGTCCCCGCAGGAGCCGCGAGCGTCGTCGTGGGCCACCCCCTGGACACGGTCAAGGTGAAGCCCCGCGCCAGGTCCCCGGGCAGAGCGCGGCGGGGCCGGGATCGAGCCCGGGTCTGCAAAGGGGAAGGGAGAAGGGCCGAGCGCTCCGTGCGAGCGTCTCCGGGGGGATGAACGTGAAAAGCAAAACCGAGCCCCCTGTAACACTCGGTTCGCTGAAAACCACTGCCAGAATCGTGCTGAACTTTGCCGCGAGCAAAGAGCACCGGGGAACTGTTTGGCTTTTTTGCTCCAGTCGTGTTTTTAAGCATTTTCCTTACGTTGGCAATGCTGCCAGAGCAGAGTGCAGGAATCACTATCCCAGGTCCGTGAGAGGCAATATTTACTATACCTGCAAGAGAAATGTGCCTCCAAAGAAAGGGTTTGCAGATATAAGAAGATGGGACATAAGCAGAGGCAGATACAGAACAGCATTTGTAGCATGCAGGGGACAAGGGTTTGTCACCTGGTGACAGCAGCAGGACTGAACATAAGGTGACATGGAGGACATCATCTCATCACCTTCTCAGTTCCCACTTCCCAAAACTCTTCCTTGAGCAGGTTCTTTCCCCGTGTTGCAATTTCCACAGAATCCAAGTGACAGTTTTTCCAGGCAAAACTCTTGAGTACTCTGAGTACTCTTCCACCTACTGAATTTTCAACCTCCAAGCTGCCCTTTTTTTTCCCAGCACTCCATGCAGCGTGTCCGGGCTTTTCCCGGCTTCCACGTGAAATCCAAGACGAAAGGCAAGTGCCCTTTTGGGGTGAAATCTCTGGAGGACGGACAGGAGCTGCAGCCGGCTGTGTGGGTGCTCGGTCCATCGTGGCCTTTCCCAAACCTGCATTCGGGGAGCAGGACCCTGTATTTGGGACAAGCCCCTGAAATTCAGGGTGCTGCGATTCCCAGGAAGGACCAGTCAAAGGGATGCTCTCATCTATATGTCTCTATCCATCTCTCTTTTTTTTTTTCATCAGGAAAGTTCTCTCTTCATATATATGTATATATTTACATCTCTGTATAAATATACATATATACACATATGCACACATAAAAAGAGGATTTTTCCTGATGGAAATCCCTACTGGGGGATTTTTTACAGGTGCTTTTTGATGGCACCACGAGCTGGGAACGGGGGACTGCTCCACGTTAACACCAGCCACTTGGCTAAAGAGCAGGTCTGCAAGGAGCAGCCCGGGCGGCCGCTCCGCTGCCTGCGGTTACTCGGAAAACCCATTAACTTGAACTCGAAGTCCCTGGTTACTCTGTAAAAGAAAAAATAACAAGCCTGGTGGAGGCGAGAGGAGCCCTCCGTGCCAGGGGTGCCAATGAAGCGGGTCGGGGTGCGGGCAGAGCCGTGCCGTGGTCACGGGGCATTCCCGACGGGTGAGAAAATGGCAAAAAAAAAAGCAACTTTCTGAATTCAAGACAAAAAAATCCCACTAGAATCCCACTAGGATTGAAGAGATGTTTTCTTTTTTGCCCTGAATTTTATCCCTGTTACCGTGCCTGATTTTTGCACATCTTCTGACCACCTTGACCGAGACTCTGTGCTCCGTATAAGCAGCGTGCGGAGGGGCCAGGCTGGTGTTTGCCAGCTGTGGAGTCCAGATGTTGCCAGAGGCTCCACCTCTGCTGAGCCCAGCTGCCGGCAAAGCTCGAGAGGGGCGGATACTTATATATATCTTATTTTATGGCTCTGTTTTCTTTGTGCCTGAGCGAGGATTCAGTGTCAAAGCAAAGTACACGCTGTTTGCTTAGCGTGAGCTCCCCCCGGGCTGCAAGCATGTGATTTTAATTGTTTCATGGATGTATTTTGCAGACTCGTTTGCAAGCTGGACAAGGATATGGAAACACACTGAACTGCGTTCTCACCGTGTACAGAAATGAGTCTGTAAGTACTTTGTGTTAGCAAAAACATACCGATGAGAAAGGAAATATGACGAGATACTGTAGCAAAGTGGAATGCGGAGCCCAAGGCAGGACAGAGCTGGCAATACCCCTGGCGTCTTCTCTTGCCAGCCCAAAACAAGGACATGGAGGAAGGACAGATCCTGGCACGGAGCAATAAGTGACAAGCAGCCAGGGTGCTGCATCCACCTTGGCTCAGCACCGGGCGGGTGCAATGGGCAACTCATGAGAGAAAAGTCCATCAAGGGCTGGTAAATGCAGAAATAACCACCTAGCTCGGGCAGACCGGGGCACAAATCGCAGGAGGCCGGAGAAAGACTTGTGCTCATCGTTAGCTTCCCTCTAGGCATCCCGTACTGCTCAGCAGGCTGCCACCTCCTCCAGAAATCCCGGCGGGGTGAGCTCTGTGCTGGAGGCATTCTGCTGACTGCGGTGAATGCAGGAAAGGACTTGGCCAGAAGTGTCTGCTTAGATGTTTTTCTGGCGCTCTGGAAAAGTCCCTGTACTCTGCATCATCTTTACGAGTCGTTAAAGGAATGACTTAATTGCCACTTGCTCAGCACGTGCAAAGGGCTCCAAGGAGGCCGGGCTGCTCGGGGCTGGTGTGCTGGGTTCGCGTTGCTCTGTGCCGCTCTGCGGGCTGCATTCCTGGGACTTTCCCTGGGACACTGCTCGAAACGTGGAAAGAGGGATGAGGGCAGGATACAGCGCTCAATAGCTCACTTACACGAAAGCCAGTTCCTTAGGGAAGGGGACCAAGGCAGATCCAGAGTCACGCAGTGGGGGGACTCGCTGCAGCCTGTTGGCCAATTTGAGAATAAACAGAAATAAAAGCGAAAAAGCGTTTTTCGCCCCCGCTGCCCTCCTCTACGGGTGGCTCTGCTCCGCTCCCAGGTGGCCGGCTTCTTCAAGGGCATGGCCTTCCCGCTGGCCAGCATCGCCGTCTACAGCTCCGTGGTGT